TGGCTTATGAACCAGCCTCACTTTCAAGACGAAACAAAGCCTCCAACGCGAATTTTCACGATATGCTATCAAAACAAATTAAACAGAGTCAATACGTCATATTAGTGAAAAAATATCGATCAGTCCGAATACCTCATAACATCCAAAAATTTGCTGCTAAAAATATGTGGGAAAAATTGACAGTCAGTAACAACAGGCGAGTGATTTTCAACAAATGTTGTTCAAGACCAGAATGAAAAGCATTGTCAACAATAACGAATAATGTAAAATTGAAAAACCACATAATAAATGAAACCAGTGTCATTTGAAAATAAATATTAACAAACAATAGCCAAGGGACAAGAGCATCAGAGGTTTAATTTTGAGAAAGTTCGGAAAAACTGAAGGAATAATGACACAAGAATCATGACAACGGAAAGGGGAATTCATCACAAAGCAAAATAGATTCCCAGGTAGCAGTAAACTCAATTTTTCTAAAGCATTAGAAAAAAACCTAAGAAAAAAAGTATGTTCACTAAGAGGAACAACAAAACGCATTATCAATATTTTGTGATAACGCTACTATCAACTTGTCTTCACCCTGAATCTTATTTACCACTAATGGGAAATAATTTTTCTGTGTAATTTATGTTGGTATCAGCTATCTGCAGCTGAATGCCGAGTAATTGAGGACAGACAATTACTATGGGTAAATTTTATCATGAATAAAATTATAGACTCATTATGGTTGGAAAAACGAAAATATTTAATGCTTATAAGTTGCAGCTCCGAACTGATCTAACGGATTTCAAATCTAGGGTTTATGTGATGAGCTCAATGAATTTTTTTCAAATGAAGAGCAGGTATGGCACTGATCACTGGTTTGTTGTTAATTAGATAAGTTTTTCACAAGGTTAAAAACAAAACATTTGAGGAAAATGGCAAACTCTGACCTTGAAAGGCCCACATACGGCATATGCAATGTGGTTTCTCAAAGATTCAAGCTTTGATTAAAATACTGAATTTCATGCTCATCAACGTCAGACCTCAAATCGAGCATTCGATCCTAGTAGCTAGTCAGTGTCTTAATAAAGTTGCCAACACTCTTGACCATGTTCAACGATTAATATGACTGGATATGACTGGACCCAACAAAGAGTAACGGTGAACTCCAAGTTGTCTAGCTGGGAAACTGTGCTTAGTGGAGTCCCCCAGGGTACAGTTTTGGGGCCAGTGTTATTCCTCCTGTACGTAAATGATCTCCCTCGTCTACTATCGTCATCGGTCTTACTCTATGCTGATGATGTCAAGATATGGAGAGCGATACAAAGCAAGGGCGATAGCTTAGAACTTCAAAATGACCTGAAGAGATTATCTGAATGGTCCCAAACCTGGCAATTGCCGATAAACACTTCCAAGTGTATTGTGATGCATATTGGACATCAGGGTACAGATACATACACGATGAATAACACTGAGTTACCTATTGTTCAGGCACACAACGACTTAGGCGTCATCGTCAGTCAAGACTTAAAGACTACTGCACACTGCCGTGCAATGGCCGCCAAAGGTTTTAGGACTTTATGGTCCATACGCAGGGCTTTTAGGCATCTTGACGCTAAAACGTTTTTGACTTTGTATTCAGTGTTCGTACGCCCTAAACTTGAGTACTGTATACAAGCAGCTAACCCCTGCCTAAAAAAAGACAGTGAACTCTTGGAAAGGGTTCAGAGAACAGCAACTATGCTGATTCCCGGAATAGCGAAGCTCCCGTATGGTACTAGACTGACCAAGCTAAACCTATTCCCGCTGTCATATAGAAGAATCAGAGGTGACTTGATTATAGTTTTCAAATTGCTAAATGACAAATTTGCACCTGATATGCTCTCATTTTTCTTGTCTTCCAAAACAGAAAATCTACGAGGACACTCCAAAAAAGTTCACAAGCTCAGAACGAATTACTTGTCAGCTGACTACCGACTTTCCCATCGAATAATCAACGAGTGGAATTCGTTACCTCAGCACGTGGTTGAGGCTCCATCCGTCGACTCCTTCAAAAGAAAGTTGGATCAGCTGAGGGACCATCATTGCCAGGACTAACACAGGCCATCAAGCCTCCTGTCCTTTCCAAACTGAAACTGAAACTGGATGGTCGTCCGATTATATTTCACAATGAGCGATTACAGCTCTTGTATCTTCACTTTCTAAGACAAGATGTAGATCACCAGTGTAGATGATCTATGTCGAATGATTGAGGGGATTGATGAACTGTTCGATATTCAGTGACATAACTGCTGGATGATTTGGTTAGGGCTCAGTGACATCTCACTGGATTGTGGACTGCGAAGGGAGTAGGTGCTGTAACACCTCGTCTTTTCCTCTAGCTAGGATTAATTATCTCTGGTTTCAATAAAACAATGGTTCGTAAATCTCAGAGGGTAAAACTTAGGATAGGAATCCGTCCTTCTAATCCATTGTTCAATGCCTAGTAGGCTATTCTAGTGAGAGAAAACACTTTCATTAACAATCACTTATAAGGACATACTAGTAATTAAAAGAAAAATTTCACTGTATTGAGTTATACAGGTCAATCAACATACCATCCTGCTTAGTGAGGGTTAACAATTGTTTGTTCGTATCACTGACAGCCCCGTGTCGGACGTAAATAGGAATTATGTCGGTACTCTATCTACGACGACACTCTATATATTTAGTATAAGTCATGAGTTTTATTTGGGACTGGCTATCTGGTTCTGTGTCGAAGGTTCTCAGTTATCTAGGCTTATGGCAAAAAAACGGAAAGCTGGTATTTCTAGGTCTAGATAATGCTGGGAAGACAACATTATTGCATCGTCTGAAAGATGATCGCATGGCTCAACATGTTCCAACACTTCATCCAACTTCTGAAGAATTGTCAATCGGTGGAATGAGATTTACGACATTTGATCTTGGTGGGCACGAACAAGCAAGGCGCGTTTGGAAAAATTACATCCCAGCTGTTGATGGCCTTGTCTTTATGGTAGATGCATACGATCGTAACAGGTTAGTTACTGGGATTATTTCTATGTACTTGCTAAAGATTTTTGGAGTCAAAGAAGGAGTTGGACAATCTCCTGCAGGATGAGCAAATTGCTCACGCTCCTATTTTAATACTCGGAAACAAAATAGATAAGCCCGGTGCAGCTAGCGAGGAAGAATTGCGGTACTTCTTGGGGTTACAGGGGATCACAACGGGAAAAGGTACCATTAATAAAAGTCAAATACCATCTGGGAGACCTATTGAACTATTCATGTGCAGTATATTAAAACGACAAGGGTATGGTGAGGCGTTTAATTGGCTTGCTCAATATCTTGATTAATGACTTACTATTTATGTAATTTATTTTATATTAATAAAGAATGCAACTCATTTAATAATCTTAAGACTGGACTAGCTGAGATTACAGACTTATGAGATGTACTTCACTCAACCGAGAATATGCTGTATCAGGATCCAGTTAATCCATTTTTCAAGTCAATACCCAAATGTTGGCTAACCGCTGTGTATATATATTGTGATGAATATCACCACAGTGATTTACCGTCGCTATTTAGAGAAAACTGTACTATCTACCTGTCTTCATTCTCAATGTCATTCACCACTAATGGGAAATAATTTTTCTGCATAACTAAAGTTGGTATCAGCTAGCTGCAGCTGAATGCCAAGTAATTGAGAATAGACAATTTCTGTTGTTACCTTTTGTCATCAGTAAAATTGTAGATTAGCTTCTTGCCTATCCTCGCGTGTTCAACAAAATCTTTTAATATGAGTTCATTCTCTTTATTTTATGACTATTTGAGTTGTGTTGTATTTTTAGACAAAGTCTAGTTAGTGTGTAAGTATGAAGTGATGTTTACAGCGGTTCTTATGCTTTCTGTATAAGTACTTCAGGGCTGCATGCGTTTATTCAAATAATGTAAAATTGAGCAGTATGATCTCTTTTGTCTGAATTTTAATGACACGTGACTTGGGAACATAAGAATTGATGGAATTTTTATCACTATCCATATATTAAACAATAATGATCACGCTTGATACTGTTAGATTAAATGTGCTGTTCAAACTTTACTTGAAGTATCAAAAAGTTAATCGTAAAATTAAACCTCTTCAGTAGCTTCAGAGACAACAGCTGTAAATTGTCTGAAAACAGTATTAATGACAAACTAGACAACTCAATTTCTGTTCAGCAGTTAATAATTCTTTCCTTGGTTACATCTGGATTCTTTCTCTAGTAATAGGCTGTCGTTTTGCGTTCATTAGTTCACAATCCCATATCTAAATCATCAGATTGTTATACTGACTGTTCTATTGTTGAAATATCACAGGTTTTGGTGGCCTCCGCTACTTAACCATTTTGATTTATAAAGTCCGAATCCATTTCAATGCTCACCATTAGTGGCTCAAAGTGCGATTAACTCTCGATCAATTTTGTACTTTGAGAGGGCAGTCTCATAGAAGTAGTTGTGCTTTATTCCTGTTTTTTTGTTCTTCCGATCTCCATGTATTCACACGCCTTTTTCTAATTTGCATAATGTTCTATAATTTCTGTAACAATAATATCAAAAATATAGGGAATAACTTTTTCCAAATAAGCATGACGAATATAGCGACATGCCCCCTCCCTGGGTGTATTGCACACCAAAATTCGCAGCACTGGGAACTAAAACTGTTACGTTTCTTGTGTTGGATGCAGGATATTAGGGAGTGATAGTAAACCAGTTGATGCGGTTGTGGATATTCATCAACTGAGAAGGTTAGGCCACGTAGTACGCATGCCTAACTACCGCGACGCACAATGCAGGCTGGTGTTGGGTATGGACAGAAGAAAGTTAGGGGCGACCAAACCAGAACTTGGCATCAGTCCATAAAGTCACTAACTTCTAGGGTGTGAGCCATGTTGGTAGGTGCAGACTACTTGATTGAGGTCCACATGACTGTTGTAACCAGTGGTTGGAGACTCTGGGTGACATTGCTCAAAATGGATCACAATGGCGTAGGTGTATGCACTCTGTCTTCCCTTAAATCGTGAGATTAAAGTTGTTTTATACCTTTCTTTCTATGAACTAATACTTAAATGCAGTCTTTTTTTAAAATCACTACCATTCAAGTAACTGTCTCTATGAATTTAGTGTTTATTTTCTGCTAATGAGGCATGGCAACTTGGACCGATGCATATATGTTCCTGGTCCTACGTTGTGGCTGACTGACTGGCTAACTTGTGTTTGAACAGATACCTGAAATGACTTTTACATTAGTCAGATGGTTCATAATTGATGTGCATTTTAACCCAGTCATCATACGAAGACATCAGAGTTAGGAGTAATTGGGTTATCCGGATTCGAGATAATCTACACGATAAACCACTTGTGTAAAAGACATAATAGTAGCCCATGTGAGGTCAAAAGCAGTATATTCAAGTTCAAATATATTTAAGTTACCATAGGATCAATGTATCTTAGCCTTATCTGTCTAACAAATGATTAGGTTCTCTGTGACATATCAACATGAAAAAGGTTCGATAGATGTCTCTCTGTTGATGGTTTTTGTGAACCACATATCAACTGTATGAAGCTCATAGCTCTAAGGGTTTGTTTTAAAGATTAATTGTTACTGATACTGTCATCACAGTCGGGACGTTGGGATTATCGACAGCCTTTTTTGAATCGACGTTCTGTTGACTAACTCGTCATGTATGTTGAAAGTACTGTGATTGGAACAATTAGCTCAAGCTCCTAATTCATCACATTAATTGTAAACTTTATTTTATATCTAGAAAGTGGTTGAGGTTTCTCACAGTCACGTTAGTATCCCGCGAAAGCTGTCCATAAAATAGTCTGGTAATAATTTTTCTTAAGGCTAAACACTTTCTTCTGATGGGCTAGGGTTATCATTCGATTTGTGTGGGGCATATATATTTGGTATCTCCTTGTACCAATGCTTGTGTTTAAATAAATAAATAGACGATGTTGAGCAATTCACTAGGCATTTAGGAAACCGTTTAGTCATAAAGAAGCTTACAATAAAAGGTAATGAAGCAGATGAAATTTTGATATGATTAATAATTGGAAAAGTCTACAACTCGGAATCAGAGATAGATTTTGTTATTTACATTGGGAACTATGCTCAGAGTTTTTACCGTGCAGTAACACCAACAAAAATGCAAAAATTAATTGTAGCAGTATAGACAAAATAATTTAGCGCGCAAATTCAAGAGGTTTTATTTTAAGTCCAAGTGTCGAAGGTTTCATCATGAAATGATATCAGCTAAACTTAGAGTCCTACTGTCTTAGGGTTACTATTTAGGTTTTTAATAGTTTAGAAGTAGTGGTTAGATTAGGTGAATATCTTTTAGTCACAAAAACACAATTGACTGTGCTTAGAATCACTACACTTAACGCGTAATCCGTCTCCAAAGTGGTACATATAAGCAATTTTTCACTTAGCCTCAATATAGTCTTAGGCCCTACTAAACTGTCTTGAATCTCGTGCAAAGTTCAGTTAACACTGTCTTGAGTCTGACTTTCTCCCTGAAAGTCTTAGCTATATGTACACTTAGCAATTCTTGTTTGAGCGTATGGATGTTTTGTTATTGTGAACAGCTCTTCGAGCCTGCAGAAACGCAGTTTTCTGACAATTTTTCAGTGTTCTACATTAAAGGAAACTACTGAAATTCACGGAAAGATCCAAGATTCACTATACTGAATCTGATTGATCTGTTTATAAGTTATGGTACCTTTGGACCCTGACTAATTCAAGCCATTAGGAGAAAAGTAAATTTGAGTGAACTAGTCAGAATAGGAAATAAGAGATTTACTAGGTGTCGTAATCTTACTTTTTAAATGAACTTATCTAGATTGACTCTGAGCTTTTAATCATTAGAGTTTGGGTCGAAGTTAAGCCATAGGAGTTTACGTTATTTTGTGTCATAAATTAAACCCTAGTTTCAAATTAGTCTGAATGCTTACCTGAATACTACTCATAGCTTGATTTAGAAAAGTAGAACCATGAGTGTGCATCAAGGATGGACCTACATATAGCTACAGGGTCGCATCAAATTTTTCAACGTAGATAACCAGTTTTGACTACACAAGCACAATTAGACACTTATGGTTAAGATTAGAATTTATGAATAGTGTCCATAGCTATGCTATAGGATTGTGGTTTGGGACTAAGATGGAGGTTTTACAATCAGGGCTAAAAGAAATAGAAGTTTTCCAGACAGTTTAGTTACGGACTAAAGGTTAAGGTTCAAAACTATTCCTTGAGGTTACAGTTGGGATTAGGTTTTACGTTAATCTACCTAAATTCGACTGTTATGTCAAGATTGTAAATCCCAACATTAACCTCAAATCCTTAGCACCTTATCTTCGTCCTAATCCTTAAATCTTAGCCTATATCATTTCACTAATTTTGGTTAGCAGAATTTGTTGAAACTTTATGAAGATTATCCATAGACTTATATAAACTGGTTTTTATGTTTCAGCTTCATCCCCAACCAAAATTGCGGCATAATATCACCCTACTTTGTGTTTCTCTTTACTCGCAGTCATTTTACTCCCGCATTAACAAACGAATGCCTTTTTCAGCAGTTTAAGACCTTGTAAGAACTAAATGATGTTCTACCATTATAATTAACCAGTATAAAACCGATAATCAAAATGTTTGTATGATATCTGGACCACGGTAGAACTTTCAAAATAAGTGAAGTGGTCGATACATGCCTAACATACTCGTTATTATTTCAAGTGTTAACACAGACCAGTGTCTTTCATTTGGACGGAGAGGAATGCATTCAAAATACTTTTACGCAATGCGGTCAGAAGACGGCATCTTTGCTTGCGCATCCAAAGTCATTAATTAAATCTGTTGGTGGGAGGTCAGTTTTTTAGAGATAAGGTTCTCACCTATGATGAAGTCAAGTAAGGATGGGGAAAGCAAAAAATGTTGACGAGCATCATTTGAGATTGACAGTTTTCTGTAAGCTGTGACTTGACTTGTGATAGTGCAGGTTAGTCTACTTCCTTGTCACGTCCTTCGATGGACACTGCAGTTAAACCTGTCGATCCACGGAGCTAACGCAGCCTTAGGATCGAAAAATGCAACTATTCTTGAAACCCAGTAGTTATTTCCTGGCGAGGGGCGGTGATTTGACCTTATGTTCAGATTTGGGTTCGCTCCTCATGAGCCCTAGCAAAGCGTTGAAGGATTATTAAGGCCTCTATTCTACACATCATCGGTAGCAGCGAATTGACATGTCCTCATTGGTCTCTCACCAAGTTGCACACAAACATATTTGTATCGAGTTAACGATCCTATGAAACGACTTGGCGTAGCTTGATCAGCGATTTCGGTACATTGAGGTGCTTTCTATTGGCAGGTAGGTTTACATATTGCAATGAAGCTTTCCAACAGTCAAGTAACCAATTTTTACGACCAGAACCAAGTAATGTAATGAATCCTTTTTTGTCGCATCGTACTTTCGATATTTTCCTCTCCTAGATTGTATTTGTTTCGGCGACTTTGTGAGAAACTTTATGTGATTTATGAACTGGTTTCAATTAGATAACCTCTAAAAACAAAGTTATACTTAAAAGTCGTGTTACCTTAGTTTTTATATCATCCGAAGCGCATGACGTTGATGAGCATTAAGTTGAACTCAGGGCATTAAGGTTTTACGGCAGGCATAAGATGAAACGGCCGTTCAATGTCTCTATGTTTACAATGGTGGTGTGACAGTGACCGGTTCATAAATTTAATTAAATCCAACAATCTCCACAGTCCCAAACTGAAAAGCCCAATACAATTGAGCCTTCGTATCGTAAACAATTACACTATCACTTCTACCTTAGTTTTGATGGAATAATGATAAACACACTAAAAATATTTGTGACTTACCGTCGAGTTCGATCATCACAATATGTGACGGTTTCTCACGGGTGGACATTTTGAACTGTTTAGAAAGGCAGGAGAATTAGATTACCTTACTGAACTTTAACGAGTATTCAAGTAATGTTTGTGTAAACAACGAGGCCATAGGTGTGTTAGCAGTTTCATTCCAAGCATTGACGGAAGCTTAGTAAAAACATCATTAGCAAATCGTCATAATCGGATTTTATGCCAAAGTAATTTTAATTCGTTGCCTAAACATTTCATATATCTAAGGACGTAGTAACTAATACAATAAATATATTCCAATTGATTAAAACTTGAATAATTATCAAGGAATCCTATTATTGCTTTCGATTTTTTCTATTACGGCATGAAAGTACGAACTTGGTGATCCACACGCATACGATATTGTTTTTCCGAGGTTTTACGCGAATAACACTGATGTAGACATAACATTTAAAAGCAGAATCCGTCAATGAAAAAAATCATCTATTTATTTTGAAATGACTATACAAACTGTCTTTGTAAGCTTGGAAATATTACCGATCTTTGGGGTTTTGTTTGATTTCTAACTGTACCTGATATCCGTTATTAGTTGTTTTGTCAGAAGGGAAAACGTTTTGGTGATTTGATGTAAGCTTGGTCGGGTCAGAAATAAATGTAACGGGAGGAGCCTTGTGACCAGATTTCTGCCAAGCCTTCGCATCTATTCGTTCTCTTGAATCCAACTCCGCTAACAAACGTGAATTATTTAACGCTTTAAGAAATAAAATAAATTTCAACGAAAATTATTGTGACACTAAGAAATACTGTGTATAAACAGGGAAATATTTGAAATCGACTATGAGCATGACAAAGAGAGAATAGTATGCCCATATTAATAACACTCAATAATCAATAACATGTAACACATAAGGATTTTATTGACAGGGATTGTACAAAGGGCATAAATTTTATTCGCAAACAAATGAAGTAATTTATGTATCGCTCGCATAAGTCGCGATATCAAAATTATTCAAAAAAAGTCTAAAGGAAACCTTTATTCATCAATGTGTAAGACAAGTAGTAGTAACTCATTCAAACTAAGATCTAAAATCGCGATATTAAAAAAAACCCGAAATATCTCCCTTGTCAACAGCATTTTAATATCATACGAAAAAGGAAAGCAGTGAACGCATTTTTAGATCCATCGAGTTGACTTTGTTTAAGTAATTCCATACATCAAACAAAAGTTTATAAAACACGGGTAAAGCAGCAGTTGCTCAACAGAGGATTAAAATGCCTAAAATGAAATACAAGGGATGGCAATTGTTACACAATCCAGTTCTATTGATACTTATTTTAAATCCAGAACAAGCGGTTAAAAATCGTCTTATTCCCCATAAGACTGAAAGGGGTTCAGTTTAATTTAATTTCTTTTATTGATCTCCAGTATTTTCTAAAATTGTTCATTTATTACCTGAGATGAAATTCAGAAGTACTGGTAGTTGGATATTTTAACATGGAAACACACTAGCTTTAATTCTCTTATTTAGATTCCGTCAGTTAATCAGTGGATCAATCTTCTATAATATATTTGGTTGGGATATCGGACTCAGTTCAGCTAGAAAATAATCAGTTCGGCAATGCCAGACACTCAAGCAATCTTTTACATCTACGCCAGGTTTGCAAATGTAAAGCAGTGAAGTTTTAAATTGCAGATAAAATGATGCCATCTTCACAATAATTAATGATTTCAACCTGGATGCAACCAGTTGACATATTGTAAAACCTAAATTTAGTTTACTTCAGTCATTACTGCAATGTACAAATTAGTGAAACAAGCATATTCCATATAGTTAATCAATAATAGATATACAATTCACCTCAACACAATTCCTCGTAACTGCAAAAAGTATTAAGGTTGTGATTCACATCAACAACACACATCGTGTACTACGTAAGAAGAATACTTAGGTCCTAAGTAATATGACAAAACAAAGAAACTAGCAGGAAGATATAACAAACGAGAGAGACCAGTCAAGGACAAACAAGAAAATACAATCACGGAGATTCAAGAACAGAGGACAGGGTGTGTAGAATACTTCGAGGAACTGCTGAATAGACCAGTCCCATTGAATCCACCGGAAATCGAAGCAGCACCTATAGTCCTTCCCTATAGATGTCCCTCCACCAACGACAGAGGAAATCAGGATGGACATCAGACAAATCAAGAATGGGAAAGCAGCAAGCCTGACAATATACCAGCTGAAGTCAGACATAGAAGTAACTGCAAACATGCTTCACCTTCTATTTAGGAATGCTTAGGAGGAAGAACAAATGCCGATGGAATGGAAGGAAGGACACCTCACCAAGATACCAAAGGAAGGAGATATGAGCAAGTGTGAGAACTACAGAGGCATCACACTACTGTCAGTACCTGGAAAAGTTTTCAACAGAGTGTTGCTAGACAGGATGAATGACTCAGTAGACGACCAACTTCGAGATCAACAGGCTGGATTCCGTGAGGATCGGTCGTGCACAGACCAAATTGCAACACTAAGGATGATCATTGTTGAGCAATCAATCGAATGGAACTCGTCACTATACACCAACTTCACTGACTGTGAAAAGGCGTTTGACATTGTAGACAGGGGAACATTATGGAAATTCCTTCGACACTATGGTGTACCTGAGAAGATCGTCAGCATCATCCGGAATTCATACGACGGACTACAGTGCGAGGTCGTGCATGGATGACAGTTGCACTCCATGTTGAGACCGAAGTCAGGCAAGGCTGTTTACTCTTTCCCCTACTTCAAGATCAAGAAATAGATTTGACTATTCAGACGGACGATCATACATTTGTTTCTTATTGAAAAAAGCGATTGCAATAAAAGGATTATCAGTATAGGGTGCTGGAAATTTTTGACATTTATTTGAGATGATGAACCGTTCAACCTTGAAGCTGTACATTGATTCAAGGTTATCAGTCGTAGTCTAACACTGGTCGGCTCATGATCTCAATAAAAAGATTGTTTCACTTATTATGATAACGCTCCGTAAATCGCTTGTGACGAATGAAATCAAGAATGTGGGACAACAATGAATGCACTATGAATATTTACTAAAAATGAAATACAGAAAAAGTGGAAAACAGCTATCGATGTAGATAAAATTAAAACATAAAGGAAGTGTGGATAAAAACTTAAAATGATTAGTCACACCGTAAAAATCATTAGTAAATGTAATCCAAACACCAGTTCCTAAATTATACAGTTAATTTGAATCTAGCAATAAAGATCGCTTTACAATAATGATAATATTGCAAATAGATTTGTTTTCAAAACAGTATTGACACGCGGCAGCTTAAATAAAATAGAAATGAGTATACTGTGGTGAATCTTCTAGGTAGAAATGATAATTCTTATATTGATCTGTCATTATACAATCAGAAGTTAAATAAAAAAGTCGTTAATATTTATTAACTTACATTCTTTGAACCCTGCGATGAAACCACGTTTCTTTTCGATCACTGGGGGAGGTTTTCGAACAGAGGGGAGGTTTAAATAAGAACGAACAAGTCGTTGACGCAGAATTACTGATTGTAGAAGGGAAACTAAGTTGCTAACAGTCCAATACCATACCAAAGCCTGTTGGATTAAAAGTATAATGAGAAATGTTTGCTGACTGAGATCCATTGGAGAAATTTGTATTTGAATAGGATTTCTTAGTTAAATTTATTTGAGTAAATAATTGTACCTTAACAATCCTAACAAATGTATTAGTTTTAAGATTTTTATCGACTTGAAGTTTCATATACGGTATTTGAGTCTGTTGTTTTCATAAATGTTTTAAACTACTGCAGTTGGATCCAGCTATTCCTTTCTTCACTTTACTTTTATCTATCTCTACATAAAGTCTTAATCAGTATTTATTTAACTAATTGGAAAAAAATTGATGTCAAGGGGCTATATGTATATGAAATAAAAAGGATCCTAGAACTTGGAAATTAATATTAGTTATTTCTAATGTACATACAAATGGCCAAGTTAGAAAAGGTACATAGAAAGTGACTTTAATTAGCAACAACTACTAATCTCACATTTCTCTGTAGGATACTGAAATCTTTTGTTTGTTTATGATTATAGTTGACACCAGTAACAGAAATGTTGGGATAATCATTATCATTAAAACATTTGCAAATCTTTAATATTTCCTATGGAATCAAATGGTATAGTGATAAGGTTGGGAAACCTCTTTTATGAAGGCTTAATAGCTGTGATGAAGTCTTTGAATAACCAAAGCCCAACTACACGTTCTTATATTGACATAGTTGTATTTGGTATGTAAAGGTTAAAGGTTGGTCAAATCAATGTAGGTAGGGAAGAAGTTGAACTCAAGACTTACTTTCTTACGCCTTTACTGCTCGTGGAGGAGCATAGACCGCCCACCAGCATTCTCTATCCAACTCTGTCGTGAGCAATCCTTTCTCGGTGCGGTATGTTCTTCGGCTTTCCTCTTTTCCATTTCCCTTCAGGATTCCAAGTTAGGGCTTGTCTCGTGATGCAGTTTGGTGATTTCCGTTTTGTGTGTCCTATCCACTTCCAACGGCTTTCCCTAATTTCCTCCTCATCTGGAAGGCTGTTTGTTCTATCTCAACGGACATTCAGTATCTTACGAAGACAATCGTCTGTTAATACTTGTACCTTCATGATGATTGTTGTGGTAGTTCTCCGAGTTTCAGCTCCCTACAGTAAAACTGTCTTGATGTTCGTATTGAAGATTCTCACTTTTAAATTAGTTGACAGTTGTTTTGAGTTCCATATGATCTTCAACTATAGGAATGCGGTCCTTGCTTTGCTAATCCTCGCCTTTACATTTGCATCATATCCTCTGTCAACTGTGATAAATATGCCAACTTATCGTACAGAATGAAAAGGGTCTAAATCGTCAAATCTATATTTAGTACAGAGACTGATGGTCTTCAGACATTTTTACTTAGGTGGTGTGTTGAAAATGTACAGGGTACAACAGCAACTCTCCCGACTCTATCGTTTTTTTGTCCAGCTTGGGTCCAGTGTGTTTCACTTATTCCGAGAAACTCTACGTGTCGTTATCGGTTTCCAATGCGAAAAATCTATTCCCATGGCTAAGCTTTAATTCATCTTCCTTTGAGAAATACGAAGATAATTTCAACATTGTGTAATATTAAGCAAATGTGGATAGTAGCTAGCAGTGGGATCCAGGACGCGCGTTTCGTTCTATTTAGGACTCGTCAGCTGGATGTACCTCCATTTCACTATAGGTCTTGAACCCAGTACCGTTCGCTTCAAACGCCATCGCGTTATCCACTTAGTTACTGAGCTCTAATAGCTACGTGCTAGTGCAATGGGGTGAAGTTTAAATTAACTTGATATTGTTTACTTGTATCTTCCCATTGAAGTTTGGGACTGCAATTGATCAGTCATTTATTGGATTATGTCCTGGATTCCACTGCTAACCACTGTCCATCCATTGTAGTCCTAAACACCAATGGGAAGATTCAAGTAAACAATACCAAGTGAACTATTTAATATTGTCCTGCATTAACAATCCGGAGTAAGAATTTTGCCTCCAATAGGAAATTAATGTGGCGAGCAATGGGTTAACTGATTTGAGTGAGAAATGCATTTACACATTAAGAAGGATTATAGATCGTAAATTGCGCGATACAGTAAATTTGTGTTCACATAGTAAATTGTTGGACTATTATTGGTTGGTATAACTCGGCAACTTATACAAATCTTACAGTAAATAAATCACATAAAAAGTGGTGTACCCATAATTCGGTTTGATTTATTTTGAGAGTCAAATAAATTCTTATCATCAGTCTTTGACTTTTGAACAGTGCATCTTTTATCTTGTGCTAAGGTTACCATGCAAATTTGGTTGGGGGTTATTAATAATGTTTAAGACATGGGCTTGATTAGCAGACTTATCAAGAATAATTGACCCAATCAAGCGTTCCTAATAATAAGGTCAACAGTAAGCTACACATTATAACAATAACGAGTGGTTAACTTTGAAGATTAGAACATTTAAACACATACTGACGTTTGAAATGAATATCTTACCGATGGCATATTCATCACAAAGAGGAAACCAACAACCGGTAACGCTCTTGAAAATAAACGAATAGTAAGTTGTGTCTGACCCGAACGTAATTCAGCACCAGTCTAATGAAACAAATGAAACATTTTATTGAAGCAGTCAGATGAAATTAAGAATAATTAAATATTTAATGTATGAACAAAGGAAAATTAAACTGAATCTTTACCTCTCATTCATTCATTATTGCATAAGCTCCCAAACTATGTTTTTGTATGCGTGTTCGTTGTGAAAATAAATATGTACTTTGTCCATAAAATTAGATTACCGTCTTAGTGTTGACATAGCAAGTTAACGACCAAAAATAAATGCTTGATAATTAGAGTATAAAATGCAGTTATATAATTACCGATCTCTAAAATGCCTTTAAGTCATATTGACTTACTATATTTAATAAGAAGGATGAATTTTCTTAGCTATTCGCTCTATTGAATTTCACCATTTGATGTCATTAATTTGGTTTTCGTAAGGAGCCAATAAGCCACCTCTTAACACTTCAATTGACTCACAATAAATTTTTCATTGTATTATGAAACCAAAACGTTTATCAAGTGATGATTCTTAAAATTTTGTTGTCGGTATGAACTACTTTACGGATGTTGAAGGTCATTTGTTAAAGATGAAAATTCAACTTTACTAATTGGTGCTATATGCTGTGATCAGTGGTTTCCAGATCATCCAAGTTGATGACAAGAAACAGTCATGTAAGATCGATTGATTTAGCACAGTTTAACATTTCCAGTAAGCGAAAAATAAATTATATGTTTGACCAAGTAATCTTTACGGAGAAATATTTGCTTAACTAATAATACTCAACAATAATTGAGGTATGTACATAATTACCGAATGTGGTATTGTGTTAAAAATGATTAACAAATATATAATAAATGGATTTAACAAATAGATTACTAACTGGTAATTCTTATTATGCAGAGTTTAATCTCTGAGGAAATTGGGTAATATTTTAGAAATAGTGTATCCCAGTGACATAAAACTGTAGCTTTGGTGGAAGAATTAACTGACTCCGTCTCGCTAACTGGGAAAGTACCGAAAACTTCTAGCATCTAACCAGTTTGTTACGGTCAGTCAAACTTTGGAAAAACGTGGACCAATGAAGAACTCTTGTCAGACATTTGACAATTGCAGTTGCGAACCTTTCTCGTCTATTTCAGTCTCAGTAGCTGGTTAGTACCTTATCAGTTGGACCACTTATTCATATCACGTATCAACTTATGATCTCGGATACGAACATGGAATTGCAACACTTCAATGAGTTACGATTCTAAGACTTTCTTCAAGTTTGGTGTTTTAAGCCATTTCCACGTATCTATACCAAGGTTGGACCAAGTTTTGAATAAATTGAGCATTGAGTAGAAAGTCAATAATCATAAGATAATTACATTTTTGTGATATTCCAATAAGTGGGAATTAGTATTTCCGACGTCTCACGACTCAATGTAAGTCACTTCTTCAGAGTAAACTAATAAATGACTGAAGTAAGTTTAAGTAGTATGCAGGATACAGAGCAGAATATTTTTAGTACAATCAGAATCGTAATAGGTCAGAACATGTCACTGTCATGTTATGTTGATCAAAGTGATTCCGTATAAGATATCATTGTGTTTATTTGTGCGTATGATGGTGCGTATTAAAAAATGTGTAATTTGTAATATGAAGTGGTGAAGTTAATATTTGAGTGTGTGTGTGTGTGTAAACTGTGTGGAAAATGAATAGAGTTAAACGTGGTTGTTTGAAAAAACAACCTAAGTAGGGTGAATAGTCAGACGTTCCTATTAAGGGCAGAGGGATTGAGCGTTATGTGAAACGCTTCAGCTACTCGTCTTTATATAATTGAAACAACCCTTCTGAATTATTTTGTTGCCTTCGACGTTGATTTGGTTATTAAAAATAGCATGTACAGTTGCTACTGTCGATTTAATTTGTAAATTTTTCAAAACTGCAGGATTATCAGGTCTTTTTGTGTAGCTTTAAGTGTATCTTAGCACGATTCAATATTTCACGGAAAGACTCCATTGTAGAACACACCACAATCAACAGAACCTAAATCTATGGTTAGCGTTTTTTTAGACACAATATATTGTGGACGAAAATAGGATGTCATTTTTAATTATAATCAAAGCATTTCATAGAGTGTTGGTTGTCTTATAAAAAGTTTTAATTCTGTATGTTTTCAAGATCCATTGTAATTTTCCTGTCTTACCTTGGCGGTAAGGTCAAACCATAGTACCAATCCTAAATATTTCATCAGAATTGTCATTTCTAGATGGATAGTTTCGTTTCTATATGTTTTTAATAACATCCGTGGGAAAATTACGAGATCTTAAAATGTTTATTGTAACATCCCTTTTCGTTAACTTGTTTACTTCTGAAGTAATGATCTGAATAGGCTTAGGGCCAAGAAAAGTTTTGCACTGAACGGATGTCGAGAATTAAAATCAATCAATCGATTTGAATGTGTCAGGTTACGGCATATAGTTAAAATGAAATTGATATGTTCAAACCTATTACGATTCTGATTGTACTAAAAATATTCTGCTCTGTTTCCTTCATACTACTTAAACTTACTTCAGCCATTTATTAGTTTACTTTGAACAAGTGACTTACATTGAGTCGTGAGACGTCAGAAATACTAATTCCTATTTACTGGAATATCACGAATGTATGCTTATTTTATCATTTTTTTTCTTCATTTCCGATTCCATGTAAATCGTGTTCATCAGATAAAAAAAGAAATATTTGAAAAGATGAAAAGTGAAGTACAATGATACTTTTACCTCAAATGTCAGTAAGAGTAAACTCATGGAGAGAAATGGTAAGATGCAATAGGGATCGGATGCTGTTAAGTCGGTAAACCAAGCAGTACCACCAGTCTGCAAGCTAGTTACTGGTAGATTAACCAAACCTCGAATTCCTGTGAAAACACCAAGGAAAATTGGGGCCTAGGAGAGTAAAAGATAAAACATCATTCGATAAAATAAAATGCAATGTGCAAAATATAGTTAAATTACACTGAAGTCGATTTTCAATTAGATTAATTGTATTGTTTATTGTAGATGTTAAGCAACAACACAAGCATACGCATGACGACAAACAACAATTAGTTATCAGAAATTTATGTAATCTTACGAAATCAACCAATTACTTTGTAAGCAAATGAAAGCGTTACATTATCAGTGGTAAGAAAGATCAAAGCAATCATCAATAGTGGATTGCCATAAATTGTTGTGTACATAAAAAATGTAACCAACTAAACCATATAAAATTAAATGTTGCACCGAATGAAGAATTATACGAAGGATTGGAAACTAACACTAATGAAACCGGTAATGCTGAATTTTATTTCGAACATAAAAACAGTCAACATTGAAGAGAACGTTACGATTGACTGATCACTGAGTAGTGGCCGACTCCATGTTCGACTGGCTTTTTACCACCCACCGAATACAATCGACCAAGATATAGTGTGGCCACAGGTTTTTAGTCTGACGTCATATGTGCCGTATTGTTAGGTTAGGTGACCAAGGTTAGTCAGAAGAAAAACCCGGGTATTTGTCACGTGCTAGTTGGCACTGGTCAGTAAGTTGTAATTGCAATCTTACTGCTATCCGTACGATTCGAACCAACGTCGCCAAGCTTCACATGGTGTGACCCGAATGGCTTAGTGCTAACATCCCACACTGTGAAGCGAGTTCAAACCCACCAGGGAACGTCAGTCCCATAGAAATTGCAGGTACACCCTGATGATCAGTGTCAATAATATCGAAATCTAAGTCCAGTGTTTACTGCCGACTACCCCAAACCACTTGACAGTACGTCACAATACCTGAATAGTACTGCATGCGAAATAAAAACATCCTATTAACCAAGAGAAAGGTGGTTAAGATGCGTTCTATAAACTACATCGAGGGAAAATATTGGCAGTCTATGAAAAGTAAAGTTACTTAGTCAATTATGGAAAGCTAAACGAGATAACGCTTCTCGGATTATTAACTTCACCAGAATATTTGGGTGAAAATATTGGATACTACCTACTCATGGCCAATGAAATACAGATTAAGAAATTCGTGTACACAACAAAAAATGTGACAGTGCTTTACCCACTAATCATGTAACAGAAAGCACGAAATCGCGAGACTCTGTCGGCTACAGCAACCTTCGGAAGTAACTGTTAGACTAACAAGTACGAATGTAATTGAACACCCACGAAATGATAACATGGATGTTTGAGTACATATTTTTCGTATACTTTTTAGTTTTCAAATATAGACCTTCTGTCTGTTTCACGGTTAGTGGCGATACTGTTAGTTTGTTTTTTCTGGTTAGTAGTTATTGTACAAAGTTTGAAGTCAAGGACGCGTGAGCACCTGGTATTGTCGGTCCGTTGTTTTGTTGATCTATAGATATTCTGAAAAGTGTTTCCTCCATCTTGAGAAAACTTCGCACATGCTAAACGGTTTTCTAGTGAACAGTCCTTGAACGATGTACTTAGGCATATGTTTAGTGATTCATGTTTCAAATATTTTGATTTGTTTCCTTGAAGATGGACTTAAGACTTTGAGGTAGGCAAACGGACGTGCAAAGTATACACAATATACACTACAGTCATAAAAACTATTCGTTAACGTGCTATAAGTTTCAACTATGCGTTTAGTGTTTCTCGTCTAGAACTCATAATGAAACTACTAAGCTTCAAGGTTGAGGTAGACAATTCCCAGTTTTCGGTTAGAAAAAAGGCAAACATGGTTTATAACAAAGGAACCGAACCGACAAAAATGAATAAAAAAATATGAATGAAATTGGAAATGCAATAATAAGATCTTCGTTTGCCTTACTTCTGCATCAACTTGTTTGATACTTTTCTCCTTTACACCTGCCTCCGTAATTCCCTTTTATTTTTACAAGTATGTATCATGATTAGATCATATCACCTGAGGTTTCCAACAATTAATTGTGGTTGTTCCAGGAGGTGTGCACCTCACATGACATGAATAAACATTCGTTAGCTCCATGTACTGATGATAAGACCCGACCTGAGCACCTCAACGCTTTTTGATCTGTTATTAAGCCGTGTAACATAGCGCCGTTAAGTCGGCGTCAATTGCACAGGAGCAACGCATGTTACGACATCTTCAGATACCGAGGGTTGATATCTTTACCTTCCGACTTGTCTCAGTCAGTCAGTCACAACGTAGAACTTCGTACGTACGTACATCAGTTCGAATTGCCATACCACATTAGCACAGAGATGCAGTTGTCGATGCAAATCCCACAGTGGTAGAAGTAGTAGGAGTATAATCAGAAATCCAAAAGATTAGGGTTTGAAGAAATTATTGAAGGAGTATAGTACAGTGAAATAAATTTGGAAAAAGAAAAAGATAAAGACATGAGGAATTCAGAAGATTAGAATTTGGTAGAACACAAAGAGTGGATGCACCTTCGCCATTGCAAACGATTTTGAGCCATGTCATTCAAGGTCTCTAACCATCGGTTGCTGTCATCACGCGAATCCCAACCAGGTAGTCTACACCTACCAACATGACCCAGTCCACTTGTCAGTGACTTCATTGATTTGTGCCACGTTTTGGTCTGGCCACCCCTAGCTATCTTCCAACGTAATCCGATTTGTCTACTACTCCGTGCTTGACCCCAACACTACTCAGTGGTTCCATAAAAGGCGAGAAATGCCTCAAAAACAAATAATCACATGCCTACAACCGACTCATTTAATCAACTTCTTAACATTTTCACTTACTGTTTTAAAACCACCAAAGATTTAAAAATACGGCATAAACTCGCCTTTCCAGGTCCAAAATCAGGTCTCATCTGTGCAACAATTGGAATAAGACGGTGATATCCAAGCGTACAAAACCAGTGTTTTTTTCCGTCAATGTTCATCATCGTATACCTAGAATTGGGTTTTTCTCCGGGTCCTTAAGTAGCATGACCTCTACATTGCCTAAAATGCTCTCTTATTTGTAGAAAAAAGTCAGTGAACAATAGCTAACTCAGAAATGAATTTTGTGCTATTCCCCTGGTATCATTGGGATGTAACATGCATAAACCAGAAGGGTAGAAAGAAATATCAATGTTGAGGTATCACACTGTCCATAATCTACTTCAAACTAATAAGTTACTTCTAGAGTTTAGTGCAACACTATAAATGAAAGGACATAATTCCATGAATGGATACGAAGAAGTACCCAAGGAAACGGATGTCTTATTGAGTTGGTTTATAAAGGTTGCCTCCTCTGCTTACTTTCTACTCCAAAATTGATGCAGCACAGTTGTCTAACATCTCTTAGTATATTTCAGCTCTCTGGTAAGAGTCAATGAGACCGCTTAACTCGATAGCCCGAGACACTATCATGCATGGTAAAGTGAGAGCTTTCCCCCCCTACCAGAAGAGGCCTACATTACAAATCAGAAGGCTATCAAGTTGAATAGCTGTCTCAGGAAAGTCACATATTTTGTTCATCCTGCACTTAAATCTATCACAAGCCAATTCCATATCAAACCTTAAAATACGGACTCTTGAAATGCTTGGTTCGATCTTGATTGAATGATGGTATTAAAGGTGCAAAAATTACTATACACATTCATTAAACTGGTTGACTGAGTTCTAAAACCAAACGACAATCATGCGGACGACTGGGGACACACTAATTATACTGTGATACTTTAATAAAATAAAACTGCTTTAATACAGAAGACAACTAGGAGCAACATGATTTAACACAATCTACCAGACAATAAATAATCAAAGTTAAAAATATATTATAAGACAGTCAATCAGTTGTGACTACTGAGTGTGAGGCTGACTGCCTATGGTTATGAAAGAGACTAAATTCACGATATTTGGAAAAACTCACTTGAAGAAACACATATTTAAAGGTATTGAGTGGATTCAAATTATTGTTCTTCATGAGCTGGCTCATCTTTTCAGAAGTACGCATCACTGCAAATTACAAAACATTGTGATAAATTATCGCATTACACAGCACAGATAACAATAAGTAGTGTCTACTGCAAATCTGACAAAAAGTAGTTTAAGTAGAGGTGCTTACAATCATTTCTGTTTAATAGAGATGTTGTTTATTCGACAAACAGACAACGGTTTCATCGGTTTTGCTCATGTGAATGTTCACATCCAAAAACCCAGTACTAGGACGTCTTTTACACATCTTTTGACTCAAAGGTCGAATGGGATAATGACTGTTGGCTTTTGTTTGCAAATGGTGATCATGTTATCCTAACACTTAGATAGGCTTCTGTTAGAATGAAGATTTTTAGTGTCCGTATGGAAAATTTGCTTAACAGACTTCATATGCAACAATAAAAGTCTTTTGTATACGTATTATCGACTAAATGGTCTAAATAAGCTTTTTTCTACAAATGTTGTTGTTCTGTATAAGTTTTGAATATCGAGGTTAGGAGTCCGTACATAGAGAGAGTGATTTATGCAGTTACTTAATGTCAAGAAGCAGGGCCCACCGTATGTGGCATTTTATAAATAAAAGCCTACTTTTGATGGCACTATCTTCCGATACAGTCGTCTGTAATGTGCTATCAGGCGGTTGTAGGGTAGCAAGAAGTTGGAGGCAGCAACTCCATCTGGTAACCTCTGAAAGTTATTTCAACTTATTCGAGTCCTAAGTCTTTGAAAGTGTATGCAGTCTTGATATTAAGTCAATTATTTCATGGGAACTATATACCGGAAGCAACTGGAGTTGGTTGCGGAATATCGTGGATTGATTAGAGTTATATATAAACACTGTTCAGTGGTACATAGGCTAGGTGCTCGCGCGAGACCAAACGGCCTGGGTTCGGTTCCTGAGTGCAGAGTTGCTGATGCACACCGCTGAGTGAACCCATGATATGAGGAAACGGCCGTCCAGTGTCTCCAGTTTTTCAGTGGCGATATAACTTAGACTAGTTCATGAATTTGATGAACTTCAACAGCCTTCACAATAGATTAATTGTTTTGGAAGATTTGGGACACGTGGTGTATAGTCATCGTGAGGTGAAGCGATTGTCGTACCTAACATTAAAAGATCTTATGTAAATCATGAGACAACAATGGGGTTAAATTTCTGTTTCCGATTGCTTCCAAAATGTTGATTCACATCATATTCCGCAAATTGTGCAGAACTACGGGAGGTAAGACTACACAGACATTACCAATACTATTTCCATCACTGCATTTTACGTCATACTGATTACCCGTTTGAGACGCGAGGTCTGGGGAACTGGAATCAGGTTAAAAGACGTGGGGTAATATCAAATATACGGTTTGTTTGGAGCTTTCTCTAACCGATCCTTCATAAAGTAGAAAGTAAATGTCAGCAAAAAAATATGTCGATTGGTGTAACACTTGATGGAATACATTATATTCCAATACAACGAATAACATAAATTCACACTTATATATCAATCTCATACATTTTATACACTGTTACATCTAGAGCTTAGATTATTGCCATACCGCGCACTACTTGAGCACTCGGACGCTAGAGCCCTTCAAGTCGCAGGTTAGAAGACATAAGACAAGTGTGAAGGGATGTTATTCCAGACGGTGTCAAATATGGTACACAACTATCAGGTATTTAAAGTTTTTAGTAAAAACGAAATCATTATTACAGTCATCCAATTCGCGTGCAGTGGTTTTTAGGATTTGTTCAATCGGGAAGCTACGCGTCAAGATTCTGAAATGTTCTTCCAAAAGATGATTGGGTAGAATTTCTTTAGCTTATTCCGAGCTTCTTAGAGCTAGCTTCCTTGAGTTCACCCAGAGATTGTCCTCACACATCCCCTCTTTAAAGTCTCTTGCGTAAGACTTTTTGCTCGGGTCCTTCGCGGCTTCTAGACAGGACCAACTACGACACTTTTGTTCTATATCACGGTCCATTGACGGCCAGTAAGTGTATCTCCAAGCCAGTGACTTACTCATTCCCGGGTGCCCGCTATGGAATTGTTTAAGGACTTTATGTCGAGGTATTATGGGGATAACGAGCCGGTGGGCAAACATGATGCACGAATCGACAATTGTCAAGAAGTCTTGTCGACGAAAGTATTGTAAAACCTCCTAATGGAGTCGAGGTGAAGGCCACTTGTTGAGTATAAAACAGCGAATGATCTTCAACGTATAATCCTTTTCGCTAGCTCCTCCGATAGCTTCGAATGTGACTGGCAGTCCGGAAACTGTCCACATTGTGAAAACGTCGGCCTCAGCTTCTACAGTAGCTACAAGCACATTCTCCTGTTTTGAATGAGAGTCAAATAATCTTGAGAGGGCATCTACCTGTCCGAAATCCGTCGTCGGTTTATACTTTATCTTGAAATCGTTCCCCAGTAGTGTAGATACCCATCGTTGTAGACGGTTTGCTGAATAAACAGGGATACCCTTCTTGGATCCAAAAAAAGCTAGTAGTGTTTTGTGGTCTGTTAGTAACGTAAACTGTCTGCCAAATAGCATCTTTTGGAATCATTTTACAGCAAATATGATGGACAGGGCTTCCTTCTCTATCTGACTATAGTTTTTTTCTGTCGTTGTCAGTGACCATGCGGTGTGGGCAGTTGCTTTTTTACATCCGTCGGGGCAGATATGTGAAATCACTGCTCCAATCCCATAATCTGACGCATCTGATGTAACCACATTATGAAGGGCTGGATCATAGTGCGTAAATAGGTTTGACGATAGGAACTGTTTTAGGAATGCTTCTCGACATTCTGTTGACTATATCTATTCGGTATTCTTTGTTGGTAAACAATTCAGCGGGGTACGCAGACGATGAAGATCAGAAATAAAAGTTCCGTAATGACTAATCAATAGCAAGAAAGACCGAAGAGTAGGAACACCCCTAGACCTAGGTATAGTTTTTTATAGCTTCGATATTCTATGGGTCTGATCGTCTTCCATATTTATCCATTATGAAATCAAGGTATCGCCCTGCTGCATATAAAGATCACACTTTTTAGCCTGAAGGGGAAAACTATATTCAGCTAAGCATGCTAGCTGGTCAAGAGTTTTCTGAAAGTCCACTTTGTCTGCTCCCATGATTATGGTATCATTTAAATAAAACGCCACTCTTGGAATATCTTGTACCATGGTATCCATAATTTGCTGGAAATTAGAATGCTGTCTTTACTCCAAAGGGCAGTCGGTAATATCGAAACAGGGATAGCAACACAAGGCACAGGTCTTTTAGATCGATAAACGGGAGTAGGTCCATGTCTAAAGCTTAGTTATGTTTTAGCTTTCGTACGTTCTCTTAAGCTTACTGTAAACACGTGGTCATGTCTTTGTAACATGGCGTTCTCTACTCACAGACTCCAAACAAATTATTTAGACCCACTGTACTTCGTCACTGAATTCATGCCTTGAGATACAGTGTATTTTGCCAATTCAGTGAGAAACAACAATCGAACTGCTATCTGCACTTCTCGGCTTGAAATTGTCGACTTCTTGGTGTAGTGAGATATTCGGCTGGCTTCTGAGGCAATGAGCTCAGAGATATCATTCACAAACGAGTTTATGATGGACATTGACTTTGACGGGATACCAATGTCAGGATGAACTTGATAAAGGGCTTTAAAGGTGTAGATAGCATAGTTCTCTTTCCTCCTCTTCTTCTTTTTCTTATCAACCTTCGTCAGCTTAACCTTTGAGGCTTTCTTCGCGGTCTTACCAGATACCAATGAGTGACATTACTCTATAGATGAACGTGTATAAAACACTTCCTTCCAACTAAACTTCTTTAAGTCCTAAGATGCAAAGAGATAAATATTAGATATAGTGCACTTCGAGTGGGCCATTGTGACATTAAAGTTTCCATTATAACATGAGCAGTTGGTTGAAAACAAAAAATATGAATCTATCAAAATAGTGTTAATAAAACTTGCTTTCAACATAGTTTCCAGAAAGTCTAGCACGCGTCAAACTTTCCTGTAAGACAGTGACTTGAGGTATAATATTCGTATATTCAGCCAAATGACGTCGTTGACGCACCATAATGGGAAACATACACATACGAATTAAAATTGTTGCTAGAAAAGAGATAAAACAGTGTAACACATATGTATATCATCACTAAACTTCAAACGTACTTACGATTTATGTAAAAAAATTTGTGGTACACCTGAAGCATGAGAAATAGTAGGTTTTAACATTATTGAGTAAATAATGGGAAAAATATTTTATAACAACTGAATTACTAGCTACGATACTGAAATCAATTATGGTCCTCTACCTTGATGTCGACAAAAGATACTAGCTGTTAAATTTCTCCCAATCTATGAACACTTAGTAGCTGGTGATTCTTACGTTAAACTTAATAAATCTAACACATGAAGCGACAAGAGCCATTGTTGGCACGGTATTACATTTTTCGTCAGAAGTATGCTTCAAGATAACATTTATCCACTATGAAATAGAAAATGTTTTTTTATTTTGTAACGCGCATTTTTTTCCACAATTATCTGAAAACTGTGATTAGTTGATGCTGCAACGATTTTTGGATTTACTATGTTCAATAGATGATCATGAACGTACTACTCACTCAAAACATGAAAAATACGAAACGCAACTTACAAGCCGCAATAGCGCCCCACCAGGGTAAATCTAAGTGCACATGTAGAGACTCCAACAAGGATTGATACCAACCCGAAGGCCAATAGCTATTCAAACCCAGAGAGGCTAGGGTTGGTTCACCCAAAGTATTCAAGACGACTTCGTTAGGTGGCAACGGAGGCTCAGGAAGGATACAATCAGAAGGAGCTGACAGGTAGGTGTTGGTAGAGAGTTTTCTCATCATCGAAGGAACAGAACTTGTTTTCTGAACTAGGACTGTTTCTGAGAAAATTTTCGTTATTCTACTTAGTCGAATCATGTCCTTGTGACTAATAAATGTTGCCAACAGAAAACTAGTGATCGTAAACGAATTATCACTAAAGAGAACGACGAAAAGTGACCTAAAGCATAAAATAAGAGAAAAACAGGCCTTAATATTCAAACAGCCAAAATACGCATCGTAAAATAAAATGAACAATAAGAGAATGTCTAGTGAACTTGCAAGTTTTGGGTCATGTAGATCAATTTGAACATTATCATCCATTCTAACAGAAGCCTATCTAAGTGTTAGGATAACATGATCACCATTTGCAAACAAAAGCCAACAGTCATTATCCCATTCGACCTTTGAGTCAAAAGATGTGTAAAAGACGTCCTAGTACTGGGTTTTTGCATGTGAACATTCACATGAGCAAAACCGATGAAACCGTTGTCTGTTTGTCGAATAAACAACATCTCTATTAAACAGAAATGATTGTAAGCACCTCTACTTAAACTACTTTTTGTCAGATTTGCAGTAGACACTACTTATTGTTATCTGTGCTGTGTAATGCGATAATTTATCACAATGTTTTGTAATTTGCAGTGATGCGTACTTCTGAAAAGATGAGCCAGCTCATGAAGAACAATAATTTGAATCCACTCAATACCTTTAAATATGTGTTTCTTCAAGTGAGTTTTTCCAAATATCGTGAATTTAGTCTCTTTCATAACCATAGGCAGTCAGCCTCACACTCAGTAGTCACAACTGATTGACTGTCTTATAATATATTTTTAACTTTGATTATTTATTGTCTGGTAGATTGTGTTAAATCATGTTGCTCCTAGTTGTCTTCTGTATTAAAGCAGTTTTATTTTATTAAAGTATCACAGTATAATTAGTGTGTCCCCAGTCGTCCGCATGATTGTCGTTTGGTTTTAGAACTCAGTCAACCAGTTTAATGAATGTGTATAGTAATTTTTGCACCTTTAATACCATCATTCAATCAAGATCGAACCAAGCATTTCAAGAGTCCGTATTTTAAGGTTTGATATGGAATTGGCTTGTGATAGATTTAAGTGCAGGATGAACAAAATATGTGACTTTCCTGAGACAGCTATTCAACTTGATAGCCTTCTGATTTGTAATGTAGGCCTCTTCTGGTAGGGGGGGAAAGCTCTCACTTTACCATGCATGATAGTGTCTCGGGCTATCGAGTTAAGCGGTCTCATTGACTCTTACCAGAGAGCTGAAATATACTAAGAGATGTTAGACAACTGTGCTGCATCAATTTTGGAGTAGAAAGTAAGCAGAGGAGGCAACCTTTATAAACCAACTCAATAAGACATCCGTTTCCTTGGGTACTTCTTCGTATCCATTCATGGAATTATGTCCTTTCATTTATAGTGTTGCACTAAACTCTAGAAGTAACTTATTAGTTTGAAGTAGATTATGGACAGTGTGATACCTCAACATTGATATTTCTTTCTACCCTTCTGGTTTATGCATGTTACATCCCAATGATACCAGGGGAATAGCACAAAATTCATTTCTGAGTTAGCTATTGTTCACTGACTTTTTTCTACAAATAAGAGAGCATTTTAGGCAATGTAGAGGTCATGCTACTTAAGGACCCGGAGAAAAACCCAATTCTAGGTATACGATGATGAACATTGACGGAAAAAAACACTGGTTTTGTACGCTTGGATATCACCGTCTTATTCCAATTGTTGCACAGATGAGACCTGATTTTGGACCTGGAAAGGCGAGTTTATGCCGTATTTTTAAATCTTTGGTGGTTTTAAAACAGTAAGTGAAAATGTTAAGAAGTTGATTAAATGAGTCGGTTGTAGGCATGTGATTATTTGTTTTTGAGGCATTTCTCGCCTTTTATGGAACCACTGAGTAGTGTTGGGGTCAAGCACGGAGTAGTAGACAAATCGGATTACGTTGGAAGATAGCTAGGGGTGGCCAGACCAAAACGTGGCACAAATCAATGAAGTCACTGACAAGTGGACTGGGTCATGTTGGTAGGTGTAGACTACCTGGTTGGGATTCGCGTGATGACAGCAACCGATGGTTAGAGACCTTGAATGACATGGCTCAAAATCGTTTGCAATGGCGAAGGTGCATCCACTCTTTGTGTTCTACCAAATTCTAATCTTCTGAATTCCTCATGTCTTTATCTTTTTCTTTTTCCAAATTTATTTCACTGTACTATACTCCTTCAATAATTTCTTCAAACCCTAATCTTTTGGATTTCTGATTATACTCCTACTACTTCTACCACTGTGGGATTTGCATCGACAACTGCATCTCTGTGCTAATGTGGTATGGCAATTCGAACTGATGTACGTACGTACGAAGTTCTACGTTGTGACTGACTGACTGAGACAAGTCGGAAGGTAAAGATATCAACCCTCGGTATCTGAAGATGTCGTAACATGCGTTGCTCCTGTGCAATTGACGCCGACTTAACGGCGCTATGTTACACGGCTTAATAACAGATCAAAAAGCGTTGAGGTGCTCAGGTCGGGTCTTATCATCAGTACATGGAGCTAACGAATGTTTATTCATGTCATGTGAGGTGCACACCTCCTGGAACAACCACAATTAATTGTTGGAAACCTCAGGTGATATGATCTAATCATGATACATACTTGTAAAAATAAAAGGGAATTACGGAGGCAGGTGTAAAGGAGAAAAGTATCAAACAAGTTGATGCAGAAGTAAGGCAAACGAAGATCTTATTATTGCATTTCCAATTTCATTCATATTTTTTTATTCATTTTTGTCGGTTCGGTTCCTTTGTTATAAACCATGTTTGCCTTTTTTCTAACCGAAAACTGGGAATTGTCTACCTCAACCTTGAAGCTTAGTAGTTTCATTATGAGTTCTAGACGAGAAACACTAAACGCATAGTTGAAACTTATAGCACGTTAACGAATAGTTTTTATGACTGTAGTGTATATTGTGTATACTTTGCACGTCCGTTTGCCTACCTCAAAGTCTTAAGTCCATCTTCAAGGAAACAAATCAAAATATTTGAAACATGAATCACTAAACATATGCCTAAGTACATCATTCAAGGACTGTTCACTAGAAAACCGTTTAGCATGTGCGAAGTTTTCTCAAGATGGAGGAAACACTTTTCAGAATATCTATAGATCAACAAAACAACGGACCGACAATACCAGGTGCTCACGCGTCCTTGACTTCAAACTTTGTACAATAACTACTAACCAGAAAAAACAAACTAACAGTATCGCCACTAACCGTGAAACAGACAGAAGGTCTATATTTGAAAACTAAAAAGTATACGAAAAATATGTACTCAAACATCCATGTTATCATTTCGTGGGTGTTCAATTACATTCGTACTTGTTAGTCTAACAGTTACTTCCGAAGGTTGCTGTAGCCGACAGAGTCTCGCGATTTCGTGCTTTCTGTTACATGATTAGTGTGTAAAGCACTGTCACATTTTTTGTTGTGTACACGAATTTCTTAATCTGTATTTCATTGGCCATGAGTAGGTAGTATCCAATATTTTCACCCAAATATTCTGGTGAAGTTAATAATCCGAGAAGCGTTATCTCGTTTAGCTTTCCATAATTGACTAAGTAACTTTACTTTTCATAGACTGCCAATATTTTCCCTCGATGTAGTTTATAGAACGCATCTTAACCACCTTTCTCTTGGTTAATAGGATGTTTTTATTTCGCATGCAGTACTATTCAGGTATTGTGACGTACTGTCAAGTGGTTTGGGGTAGTCGGCAGTAAACACTGGACTTAGATTTCGATATTATTGACACTGATCATCAGGGTGTACCTGCAATTTCTATGGGACTGACGTTCCCTGGTGGGTTTGAACTCGCTTCACAGTGTGGGATGTTAGCACTAAGCCATTCGGGTCACACCATGTGAAGCTTGGCGACGTTGGTTCGAATCGTACGGATAGCAGTAAGATTGCAATTACAACTTACTGACCAGTGCCAACTAGCACGTGACAAATACCCGGGTTTTTCTTCTGACTAACCTTGGTCACCTAACCTAACAATACGGCACATATGACGTCAGACTAAAAACCTGTGGCCACACTATATCTTGGTCGATTGTATTCGGTGGGTGGTAAAAAGCCAGTCGAACATGGAGTCGGTCACTACTCAGTGATCAGTCAATCGTAACGTTCTCTTCAATGTTGACTGTTTTTATGTTCGAAATAAAATTCAGCATTACCGGTTTCATTAGTGTTAGTTTCCAATCCTTCGTATAATTCTTCATTCGGTGCAACATTTAATTTTATATGGTTTAGTTGGTTACATTTTTTATGTACACAACAATTTATGGCAATCCACTATTGATGATTGCTTTGATCTTTCTTACCACTGATAATGTAACGCTTTCATTTGCTTACAAAGTAATTGGTTGATTTCGTAAGATTACATAAATTTCTGATAACTAATTGTTGTTTGTCGTCATGCGTATGCTTGTGTTGTTGCTTAACATCTACAATAAACAATACAATTAATCTAATTGAAAATCGACTTCAGTGTAATTTAACTATATTTTGCACATTGCATTTTATTTTATCGAATGATGTTTTATCTTTTACTCTCCTAGGCCCCAATTTTCCTTGGTGTTTTCACAGGAATTCGAGGTTTGGTTAATCTACCAGTAACTAGCTTGCAGACTGGTGGTACTGCTTGGTTTACCGACTTAACAGCATCCGATCCCTATTGCATCTTACCATTTCTCTCCATGAGTTTACTCTTACTGACATTTGAGGTAAAAGTATCATTGTACTTCACTTTTCATCTTTTCAAATATTTCTTTTTTTATCTGATGAACACGATTTACATGGAATCGGAAATGAAGAAAAAAAATGATAAAATAAGCATACATTCGTGATATTCCAGTAAATAGGAATTAGTATTTCTGACGTCTCACGACTCAATGTAAGTCACTTGTTCAAAGTAAACTAATAAATGGCTGAAGTAAGTTTAAGTAGTATGAAGGAAACAGAGCAGAATATTTTTAGTACAATCAGAATCGTAATAGGTTTGAACATATCAATTTCATTTTAACTATATGCCGTAACCTGACACATTCAAATCGATTGATTGATTTTAATTCTCGACATCCGTTCAGTGCAAAACTTTTCTTGGCCCTAAGCCTATTCAGATCATTACTTCAGAAGTAAACAAGTTAACGAAAAGGGATGTTACAATAAACATTTTAAGATCTCGTAATTTTCCCACGGATGTTATTAAAAACATATAGAAACGAAACTATCCATCTAGAAATGACAATTCTGATGAAATATTTAGGATTGGTACTATGGTTTGACCTTACCGCCAAGGTAAGACAGGAAAATTACAATGGATCTTGAAAACATACAGAATTAAAACTTTTTATAAGACAACCAACACTCTATGAAATGCTTTGATTATAATTAAAAATGACATCCTATTTTCGTCCACAATATATTGTGTCTAAAAAAACGCTAACCATAGATTTAGGTTCTGTTGATTGTGGTGTGTTCTACAATGGAGTCTTTCCGTGAAATATTGAATCGTGCTAAGATACACTTAAAGCTACACAAAAAGACCTGATAATCCTGCAGTTTTGAAAAATTTACAAATTAAATCGACAGTAGCAACTGTACATGCTATTTTTAATAACCAAATCAACGTCGAAGGCAACAAAATAATTCAGAAGGGTTGTTTCAATTATATAAAGACGAGTAGCTGAAGCGTTTCACATAACGCTCAATCCCTCTGCCCTTAATAGGAACGTCTGACTATTCACCCTACTTAGGTTGTTTTTTCAAACAACCACGTTTAACTCTATTCATTTTCCACACAGTTTACACACACACACACACTCAAATATTAACTTCACCACTTCATATTACAAATTACACATTTTTTAATACGCACCATCATACGCACAAATAAACACAATGATATCTTATACGGAATCACTTTGATCAACATAACATGACAGTGACATGTTCTGACCTATTACGATTCTGATTGTACTAAAAATATTCTGCTCTGTATCCTGCATACTACTTAAACTTACTTCAGTCATTTATTAGTTTACTCTGAAGAAGTGACTTACATTGAGTCGTGAGACGTCGGAAATACTAATTCCCACTTATTGGAATATCACAAAAATGTAATTATCTTATGATTATTGACTTTCTACTCAATGCTCAATTTATTCAAAACTTGGTCCAACCTTGGTATAGATACGTGGAAATGGCTTAAAACACCAAACTTGAAGAAAGTCTTAGAATCGTAACTCATTGAAGTGTTGCAATTCCATGTTCGTATCCGAGATCATAAGTTGATACGTGATATGAATAAGTGGTCCAACTGATAAGGTACTAACCAGCTACTGAGACTGAAATAGACGAGAAAGGTTCGCAACTGCAATTGTCAAATGTCTGACAAGAGTTCTTCATTGGTCCACGTTTTTCCAAAGTTTGACTGACCGTAACAAACTGGTTAGATGCTAGAAGTTTTCGGTACTTTCCCAGTTAGCGAGACGGAGTCAGTTAATTCTTCCACCAAAGCTACAGTTTTATGTCACTGGGATACACTATTTCTAAAATATTACCCAATTTCCTCAGAGATTAAACTCTGCATAATAAGAATTACCAGTTAGTAATCTATTTGTTAAATCCATTTATTATATATTTGTTAATCATTTTTAACACAATACCACATTCGGTAATTATGTACATACCTCAATTATTGTTGAGTATTATTAGTTAAGCAAATATTTCTCCGTAAAGATTACTTGGTCAAACATATAATTTATTTTTCGCTTACTGGAAATGTTAAACTGTGCTAAATCAATCGATCTTACATGACTGTTTCTTGTCATCAACTTGGATGATCTGGAAACCACTGATCACAGCATATAGCACCAATTAGTAAAGTTGAATTTTCATCTTTAACAAATGACCTTCA